TAAATTTAAATGGCCTTAATTCACAGATCAAAAGAAACATACTGGTAGAGTGTATCAAAACACAAAAACCCAACAAAATGCTCTGTATAAGAAACTCACTTAACTGAAAAAGAAATTTATAGACTGAAAGTCAAAGGATAGAAGACATAATCCACACAACAGCAACACAGAAAAAAGAATGGGTAGCTATTCTGTTTCCAGAAAATGTGAACTTCAAACAAAGAATGATCAAAAGAGATAAAGAAGGTCACCACATACTTGTTAGGGGAAAATTACAAGAAAAAGAGATAACAATCATAAATAGGCATGCTCCAAATATGGGAGCACCCAACTATAAAAGAAAAATATTAATGGACATGAAGAATCAAATGAGCAATAATGCAACTGTAATGGAGGAACTTAATACTCCACTATCACAAATAGATAGATCAACCAAACCAAAAAAAAAAAAAAATGAACAAAGAAATGTTAGAACTGAAACAAACCTGTAAACAAATGGACTTAGTTGATGTTTACAGAGTGTTCTACCCAACAAAATCAGAATACACATTATTCTCAGCTGTACATGGGACATTCTCTAAAATAGACCATATACGAGCCCACAAAACATGCTTAAGTAAATGCAAAGCAATTGAAATTATCCTATGCCTATTATCTAACCATAGTGCAATGAAATTGGAAATTAATGACAAAAAAAAACACAGAAATTCCACAAACACATGGAACTTAAATAAAACCCTCCTGAATAACCAATGGGTTACAGATAACATTAAAGAACAAATTAAACAATATCTATATTTAAACAATAGTGCAGATACAACATACAGAGTCTGTGGGATGCAATAAAGCAGTCCTCAGAGGAAAATATATAGTGGTGAATTCTAACATCAGGAAAACAGAACAAGCACAAATAAAAAACCTAATGTTGCACCTCAAGCTTTTAGAAAAAGAAGGGCAAATCAAGCCCAAATCCCATAGAAAGGAGGAAATTATAAAGATCAGAGCAAAAATTAATGTAATTGAGACTAAGAAAACAACACAAATAATTAATGAATCAAAGAGTTGATTCTTTTTAAGAATAAATGAAATGGATTGTTTCCACAATTTAGCAATTACAAATTGTGCCACTATGAACATGGGTGCACATATATCACTGCGATATGATGTTTTCAGATCTTCTGGGAAAATATCCAGAAAGGGAATAGCTGGGTTGAATTGGGACCTCCTGACCTAGTTTGCCGAGGAATCTCCAAACTGATTTCCACAGTGGTTTCACCAGTCTGCATTCCCACCAGCAGTGGAGAAGAGTTCCTATTTCTCCACAGCCTTGCCAGCATTTGTTATCGGTGGATTTCTTAATGATAGCCATTCTTACTGGGGTGAGATGAAATCTCAATGCTTTAATTTCATCTCAAATGACTAATGATGTTGAAC